GACACTGTTAATTGAGAATAATATCTCTTTAAATAAATCAACAAAGAGATGCTTGTACGATGCTTTGAGTCAATATTGCATAGATGTCAAATATATTAATTAAAAAGAATATCATTTTGAACATTTTTGACAATTTGATTGAAAATTATTTTTCCTTTAATTTGAATGAAATTATCCTTCTGAATGAATCTCATTAATGTAATTTCTTTGTTATATATTATTTTTTTAAGTAATTTTTTTCCGAAAAATTTCCGGATTCATGTTCACAAAGATGTTTTTAAACTGTTGAAGTTTGATGAATCCTGCCTAGATCCTCCTATATTACAATATTATCAATAATTTTTTGAGCACAAACAAATAAAACTTGTTCAAAGAGAAATTGAAAAAATTCAGATTTATGATACAATTCTCATTTGTGTATATGTATGTGTTAAAGTTCTTTGATTAAATTTATAATTTTTAAATTAAATAAACATAGTTCTCTCTCTCTCTCTCTCCCTCTCTCTCTCTTTGAATCAAATATTACAAGCACGAAAAGCATTATATGTGCGTGCAGTGATAAAGAATTATGGTATATAGTTCATCTTAATCGTCATTATTACGCTAAAGTTAAAAGTTCTAGAGACAGATGAATCGCTCGCTTGTCTCCATGGACGTATAATTTATGGTTCAGCAACAACTTCCGCGCTTTATTCTACGGCTTGTTAATTCAGGATCTCCGTGGAATGGATCGTTCCTTTACCTAAGGAATCTGCCTCCAAAGAGGACCAAGATTACATGCACGTCCGGACAAGGAAGTTATACTTGCACCACAATATTTTTCTTTAGGACATTTATGGTGGGTATACCTTGAAATATGAACCATTGTTTACTTCCTTTCAGGATTCAGTGCATTACAGTTTATATTGTGTCCAAGTACAGTTGATTTCCACAGAATATTTTAAGAGATATCATTATTTTAAGAGATCATAAATATTCGGACAATGTACATAAAATCAATGAATAGATTGATTTTTGTAATATTCGAATATTTTATTATTTGAACACAATTTAAAGTCAAAAACACTATCGAGAATAGTTTAACAAAATATATCTTTATTTATTAAGATATCATCTTAATTATACAATTATATATAGTATTAATTATATTTAATTATATTATATATTAATTATTATATTATATTAATTGCTGACATAGACTAGTTAGCTTCTCTCTTTGTTCTCAGATATATATTATACTGTTTTATTTAACGTTTTTCTTGCGAAATTTCTATATATTTGGAAGTAATATGGAACAATTTATGATAATATCGTTGATGAAAATAAAATCACGATCTCGAATCTTGCAGACAGTTGAGCATCATCTTCATCATTATCTCCCTTTCTATATTCTCGTTTGTCATGCTTATAGTTACATTAATTGATTATATAATGATTATGTTAATGTACTTACTTAATTTTTTGCAGCATCCTGTTTGCGCCAGGTTCATCGAACTAGTGCCGGAGCAGTGACCGTCTCATCGATGTCATTTCCAATTTAGTTAACGATTGACCCTGAAAACATACGTGTATCGTAGATATCCCAGATTGACATCAAAATGATGTCATAATAATTACTATAGCTATCTGGGATGGTAATTTATACAAACAGCGTAATATTAATTTGGGTAATAATCTATGGTAAAACTTTCTTTTCCATATAATTTTGTAAATATGTTGGAAAGACTTTAGACCTAATCTAACCTAATTTATATAATCTGTTGTTCTTTTATTTTTCTTTTTTTCATTTTTTCTTATTACAGTTATACTTATTGTTAGATGAGATGCAAAATCGAATAATTCATTTGCTTTATCGTGCAAGTCACTTTTATATCGACAAATTTTACTTTTTATGATAATTAATTTTTTGTTAGCATTAATGAGTGTGAAAAGGCAAACTTTTGAGTCCCGAGGCAACGTCTCTTTCATTCATCAACTCGATCTAAAGCATCAAAAGCGTACTCGACTTGTTGATAATTCATTGATCTTTTTTTTATCTCTGATTATCTCTGATCAGATTCGATCATTACCAACGATATAAATAGCGGAACCTGTTCCGAGGCCTGTGATCCGGCAGGGAAAATCATATCGGCGCCGCGTGAAAAAAATTGTATATGCGCAGAATGTATGGAAGATGTATCTCTGGTGCTGATCAAGGCCGAGAGGCGCAGAAAAAATCGCGACTCGGTATACATAACTTGATCCTGAATGTTGCAACGGTCGGCTTTTGCTTTCCATCTCTCGACTAGGGTTATGTCTTCGCTTTACTTTCCGTATCCGTTTTTCTTTTTCAGAGAGCGGCATACCGCGACAGTCCAGACGACGCGATTAATTCATTATATTTCTATCGATGTCGCCATGATATCGCATGCACCAAGTAACGAAACCAGTTTCTACTGTAATTTAATGTTTACAGAAAGAAAGAGGGAAAGAAAATATCATTATATATATAATGATATTTTCTTTCTCTCTTTCTTTCTGTAAACATTAAATTACAGTAGAAGCTATATATATATATATATATATATATACGTATATATATATATATATATATATATATATATATATATATGTATGTATATCCATGCACTTTAAAACAAGTTATGCTGAAAAAATCAAAATGTAATATAATTTTGACCGGTACTATATATATATATATTTGTCCGGAAAGTAATGCGTCGCATTTTTTTGTGACGCGACTATACATCGCAGAGCGATGGGACCGGTTGGGGAGGAAGGGGGGTACCCTTAGCTTTCCAACGGTAGGTCGCTCAATTGTTTCCATGCGCTTGGAGGGTTAGGACGGCTTATTCTGTGAACCTCTGCTTAGTGGTCGCGTCGAACTTGTGATGGAGAGAACGATAGAGCAACGCTATGCGATAAAGTTTTGCGTGAAGCTGGACAAGACGCCGCTGGAAACTTTTGAAATGCTCAAGAAAGTTTGGCCCCGGCGGACTTTTTTTTATTTCCTCGGCTGAAAAGGGAGCTCAAAGGACAACAGCTCGAGTCGGTTGACAACGTACAAGCTACTTCGACGGCCTCCCTGAACAGCATCCCAGTCAAGGAGTTCCAGAAATCTTATGACGCATGGAAATCGCGTTGGCAAAAATGTATTGACGCAGAAGGGTCATACTTCGAACAATTTTAAGTTGTTTTACCTATGCGATCAATAAATTCTTTTTTAAAAAATGCGACGCATTACTTTCCGGACAAACCTTGTATGTACGTGTGTGTGTGTGTGTGTGTGTGTATTTATGTATGTATATGTATATACATATATATGTAACAAATATATATATATATATATATATATATATATATATATACAAAATATCTCAAAATTAGACAAAATTAGATTTTATGTGATTATAAAAAACATTAAAACAAGCCAATTTTGTCAATAAACTCGTGTCCGCAAATTAGTCATTTTGATACTAGACAATCAAAGACCAAGACATTGTTTGACATTGTTTAATATTATTTGACATAAGACACACACAGTGTTTGACTAACAATAAGCTTAGTATCATATCTTTAGTATATTCATTTAGCATTATATTCAATTCATTACTTTTTAGTCAAAATCTGTTTTTCAAAATGAACAAATTTTCTTATGAAAAATTGCTGTTCTTACGAATAGTTGCTGTACAAATACATATTCCTCACTTTAAAAATTATTATAGTGCCAAAACGGTTCGTTTGCATAGACATATGGGTTTATTGGCAAATTTGGCTTGTTTTAATGTTCCTTATAACCACGAATGTGCATTATTTGAAATAGATGCATTTAATATAGAAATGTAAAATGTAAAATGTCTAATTTGTATTTTACATTTAAAATATGTTTTCAAAAAGTATTTTGTATTTACATTTAAATGGTCTTTATTATCCATTTTTTATTTCAAATGCACTTTGTTGCAAACTAAAAATTAATCGAGATATCAATAATATGTATATGTGTATATAATAATCAAAATGTTATTAAAGAATTCATTAAGTAAATGTCTATAAACAATAATAAACATTTTTTTGTAATTCGATATGTGTATATATTTATGTAATTTTTGTTTTTGTTTGTATTAAAAAAGTTTTTTTATATTAAAAATATATAAAGTTTATAAATATTTAGAGTTTAAAAAAAAGTTTATAAACATTTAATAAAGAAATAAAAATTTTAATAAATAAGTAATAATTATAAAACGCAAGAAATAAAAAATAAGAATTTAAATATATATGAAAAAACTATTTTTATTTCAAAAATTATTTAAAAATACCTATTTTTTCTATTTCCTAAATGGATGTATTATGCATTACATTCTTCAGTTAATTTCAGGTAGAATTTACTTTAATAAAATTTTAATTTAAGGCTTAGTTAGAAAAAGATACAACATAACAGAAATCGTATAATATGTGAAGAATGATGACTTCGACATTTTCGCTGAGGAAAATTCGTCTTCAAATAATTCCAGGAATTTGCTTTTAACGGGTAATATTACAATAAAATAATTTCAGTAATAAAATAATTTTTGAAATTTAAGCACGAAAAACGATGATGAGATAGACGTAAAAGAATTTACACATTGCGTTTAGTATTTTGCTGGAAAAAAATGCAAAATGCAATTATCCACATATTATATCTTTTCTATGAAACATTTATCGTCTTGCTAATCTCTTTATGATAATTAACGAAAAATCTCACAAGCTTGTCGTGTTTTCTGATGAAAAAAGAACCGCAAATTCCTGAACGACGACGATATCGATCTTTGATGTAATGTGTAACATCAAACGTGTAACGATCACGGTTTGTGTGTTGTCTCTCCCCTCCCCCCTTCCACACCACTATTCCTTCTTCTTGTACATACGCATGTTGGTGCTCCACGCACACCGGCGAGCCAATTGGAGAACCAAGTCTTTATAAGTAGGAGCCATCCGCGTCCTCAGGACTTACTCCTTCTCGGGAACGTGCCACGATCGGCAACCGATTTTCAAGAATAGTCGCGCACAGAAAGGTTACACGACACTTGGTCGCCGGGTCGCTTTTACTTCCCCACGCGTGAAATTATTACACACGCGAGTTTCCGTGGACCACGATTTCCAGGGATCCGAAATAGTTTCAGGAAACGGAAGAGACCGCGGGATGTGACGGGGCTGCAACGAAGAGATTTTTGCCGAATGCATCCCGGAATGTAAGTTAACATGTATTTTTCTTCTCTATATGTATGCGCGAATATAAACGAAATGAATTTGGGTCTTTTGTCGATTGAGTCACATTTCTTATAATTATGGACGTTTTTTGGTTGCGAGTTTCAGATTATAATAAACTTTTATGAGCGAAAGATGTGATTAATTTGTTGAATAATCAAGAGTTATTACTGCGGAAATATATTTATAGTTGTTGATTTCAAATTACATTTTTCTACCTTAAAATACAAATGTATTTTTTTTACACTAATTGATTTCTTTTATTTTTTTGTACATAAATTGAGATAAATTATCAAAAAATGAATATTTTACAAAATATTTTATAGTTTATATAAAATTATATTAAAAAAAAGTATAAATTATATCTCATAAACTATTCATTTTTTGGGCATTATAGCCTTATAATTTTTTATGTCAAATATTATAAAAAATCGATTTATATAAAAAAATTAAGTGATTCTAATGAAAAACTTAAATTAATTTCTAAATGACCTTGAAAAACGCCATTTAAAATGAAATTAGTGGCACTATCTTATGCCTCTCGAAGTTATAAAACTTTTGTACGAAACATTTTTTCTAAGATTCTTTCAAGATATTTAAATAAGATAACCTTGTATAACATACATGCGTGAGATATCATTCTTTAAAGCAAAATATAGTTTACATTGTTAAAAATTAACAATATATCTAACAATTTGATCAAACGAATAATGTTAACAATCGTTAATAATATTTGCGAGACTTGTTACAATAATAAAATATAAAGAGCAAATATATATGGTGTAATTGTAAAAACATATATGGAGCACACCATCAGATTCTGTAACCAATTTGGAAACAATTTTCCTCAGCGAAAATGTGAAAATTATCATTTTTTTGCATATTTCCAATTTCTGTTATCTTGTATCTTTTTATAATTAACTTTTTAAGCCTTAAATTAAAATTCTATTAAAGTAAACTCTATCTGAAATTAACTAAAAAATGTAATACATCTATTTAAAATACGAAATGGATAAGCATTTTTAAAATGATTGAAATAAAAATGGTTTCTCTAAATATATACTTAAATTCTTATTTTTTATTATTTACGTTTTATAATTATTACTTATTTTTTTAATTTTTATTTTTTTATTAAATTTTTATAATTTTTATTAATTTTATAAGCTTTCTTTATAAACTTTGTTTTATAAACTCTTTAAACTTTTATAAACTTTATATCTTTTTAATATAAAACAATTTTTTTAATACAAAAACAAAAAGTCACAAATATATATACATGTGGAATTACAAAAAGAATGTTTATTGTCTACACATTTACTTAATGATTTTTTTATAAAATTTTGATTATTATATATATATATACATATTATTGATATCTCTATTAATTTTTAGTTTACGAGAAAAGTGCATTTGAAATAAAAAATAGATTATGGAAACGATTTAAATGTAAATACAAGATAGTTTTTGAAAACATATTTTAAATGCAAAATGCAAAATAGGCATTTTACATTTTACATTTCCAGTTTAAATACATGTATTTCAAATAATGCACATCCCTGAATTTTGTTAATCTTTTAACTCTACAAAGTGTAGTTTGTAAAAAGCTCTTCTTTTTCAATAATTGATCGTTCGAAAATTATTGGTATTCCGACATTTTTACTGAGAAAAAATCGTCTCTAAATTGGCCAGAGAATTTAATGGTGTGTTCCGTATAAATTTGTTCAGTCATACCCTGTATAACAATCGTGTTTAAAAATAAGCCCTCGCGTTAGCTGCAAGTAGATTTTAATGTCATTTAAAATTTAATGTCAATTAGCAAAATAAAACAGCGCGTCGTGCCGGTACTTTAAAGTACCTTTCGAATTGATTGACGAGCGTGCGTGTATGTAATCATTACATATTGTGACATTAGTCATCGCATAACTGTTTCACCCGGTCACAAATGAAATATATACAATACTCGCAACATGCCCGCACAATGTAAATGATCGTCGCCGAAATATTCGTCCGTCCGATTACGAATTCGCGTCACGAATCCGAACCGCTGTATTTGGATCGACATTCCGCAATTCGCATGCGATGCTCGAGTTCAAGCCGGTTGATCGATCTTGGCATTGAAACTGATCGGCCAACAAGTAGCAACCCAAGTAATGCATTATGTACAGGCCCGTGCATGGTATCTTGCAATCGCTGTACATGGTAAAGAGAGGTCTCAACCGAGACAAGACCCGAAATTAATTTTTGGCCTGATGCGCCATAAAGGAAACGCTTCACGTGCGCCGGGTCTTTATCGACCCGAAACCTAGATGCAGATTTAATTCTGACGCAATTGTATAATGACGTAACCGTTACTTGACAATTGCTCCGTAAAACTGCACATTAAAAGTGGTTGGGTAAGTTTATTTTCGAGAGAATTGATAATACTGCTGCCATAGTTATAAATTGAAGTTAAGTTTTGATTTATAAAAGAAATCTCAAGAAAAAGTGGACATATATCACTTTCAAAAGAAAGGGCTCATTTATCAAATGTAATACAAATGTTTATCATAAAATATCAAATAATTAAATAACTTACAAATATGCTTATTAATAATTAAATAATAATTAAAATAAAAAATAATACTTGTTAATATGTTTAATACGTTTAACTTGGATAATATGTTTCTTCTACAAAAGAGAATTGCTATGATTACAAATTGAAATTAAGTTTTGACTTATAAAGGAAACAAAAATCTCGAGAAACCTTAAAAGTGGACATATATCACTTGCAAAATAAACGGCTTAATTATCAAGTGTAAAATAAATGTTTATCGTGAAATATCAAGTATACTCAAGTAATAATCAAAATAAAAAAAGTAATATAACAGGATATATAATGTTTTCTTCTACAAGAGAATGATTAAATTAATAGGAAAATTGTAGGAAATTGCAAAATATAGAATTTGCTGTAGCAAAAGCGTTTTAATATGCAGATTACATAAACATGCATCTTTCGATTCTTCTTAATGATAATAAAGGATAATTTTGTTTGTGCAATATTCTGTCGATCAATACATAACTTTCGTAATCAATTTCCGGAGTGTGGAATCCGCACGCATATAAAAATAAACAATTAATTGTTATACCATTACATTAGTGCAATATAAAAAGCTTCCACATTATGTAAGTTTTTTGTAGTAATAAATTATCCAATATTGGAAAAGAACTAAATTTTATAAAGAATAATATTTATAAAAAAAGTAAAAAAATGCACTTATAAAGAAAATGAGCAAATTTTATCTTTTTGCTTATCTATGCAAGAAACATTTCCGTTATTAATTTTTTTAACGAACAAGATTTATGGGAATCCAGCTTTAAATGGTCAAGACATTCCAAGGTAAACCGAGGCTGCCGAGTAAGGAAAAATTCGAAATTGACTTGCAACAACTATATATACTTTTTACGTATATCCTTTTTGTACAGCGAAAATTATTTGGTAAAATTTTGCTACATATATATTGTTATTGTTGAATTTATTATTATATCAAATTACGTGTATTATGCGAATTTAGTAATTAATTCCTATAAATTACGAGGTAAAAATAAAAACCAGACAGGTATTTCCAAGTATAAAGTGTAATATTATCTATAAATCTGTCAAGGTGTTAGAAATTTTACGCCACACGCACATCATATCAATATACTTCAATGTTGTCATTAATCGCGCCAAACAAGGTATCTTGTTATGAACATGCCAATTCTCATCATTGATTCATCACTTCTTATGATTATACTCTATTTACGTCAATGCTAACTCACACTCTGCGGCTTTCTCATTTTCTCAGAAATATATGCACAGCGCTTGTACATCCACATTCCACAAAGAAAGAGCCTTGAACCCTATGCGCGCGGAGCTCGTGTCAATGATGGATTACGGGAAATCTACATTATTATTATGGTAGTAAATGAAGGGAAGAGTAAGAAAAGACGCGTACAAGTAAAATAAAAGAGAGGGGAAGCCGAGAAAAGGAGAAGAACGACTCGCGCGAATGCAATTTACAGGTATCCCTTTAATTGCGATGCATCGCTATGTGGAGTTGACTATTAGCCACGAAGAAATCCACACGGTATTACTGGCAAATGTCATTGCGCACTTTTATAACGTCTGGCGAAATTTATGTCTCATCTTACATCTACGACAAGATAACAGAAAATATAAAAATTTTGGTTAAAATTACCTAGCAAATTACCTGCGTAAAACCAAGTGTACTATTTTACTGATACGTGTTTAATCTAAAAATTTATATTTTTTCAAAACGTTAAATATGTACAAATATATATACACATACATACACATACAGAGATTTTAAAGCTTACAGTGCGTTATCGCAAACTAATAATTTCATTGAAAAATGTTTCAAATAAAAGTTGTATGATTTCAAGGGAGACATAAAATGATTTGACCTTGACTAGTTTGAAGGTCATGTAAAAATTATCTTTAATTTCTTAAATGCAATCATCATATTTTTTTATAAATTAATTCTAAACAATATTCTCCATAAAAAATTATAAGGATAGGATGGAAAAAAAGGAATAGTTTATGAAATATTTTATACTTTATTGTGACAATGTAAATTATGAAATATTCTCTCTCTCTCTCTCTCTCTCTCTCTCTCTCTCTCTCTCTCTCTCTCTCTCTCTCTCTCTTGTAAAAAATATTCATTTTCCGATGATCTTACTTAATTCTTTTATGCATAAAATAATAAGAGAAATCGATTGATAAAGAGAACAAATAGTCGTTTTTAAGAAAAATTATGTAGCTACTAATTGTAAATTACATTATTATATATTAAACAAATTGGTCGGTCGAAGTCAACGCTTCTTCCATTTAATAATTATGCAAGTTATTACGCATATATTGTGCGTAAGACTTCCCATCATTTCTACGCCATTGCGCGCATTAGCAGAGAGAGCAAGTTGTTGTTGGCGGGAGAAGAAACGACCT